GATCGATACATTGTGTCACGTATTGACTAAACCTTGGCAGTAAGTTTGGGTTGCGTCTGTGCAAGTGGCAGTGAGTGTGATTCTGAGTGTGATTCTGAGTCTGACTGCTCGTGTAGTGCACTGCTGAGTCAGAATTTCTGTGGCTGATGAAAGATTTCTCTCCTTTGGTCATTTCATAAACTGACTCAAATAAAGAACCTACTTGCTCATCAAGATCAAACCTGAATTATATTAAGAGATTTCTCCAACCTTCGTATAGATAGCTTGAGTTTCATACATAGAAAATTGTATGTATGATAAAAAACGTGGTGGGGGGTTAACATCTCTAACTATCTATGTATCCATCTATCCATCTATCTCCATCATCATCACTGTATGTATCTACATCTATCCCATCTATCTACAATCTACCATTTGTTTAAAGATTAAGAGATGTGATTGTTACTGATCTTACACCAATGTTTAGATCCATTACTTCATAGTGCTAACGTCTCTGTTAACATTTGACGCTATACGACTATAAATGCCCTTCTAAAGCACTCGTTATCTTTGCCTTTCTTAGTTGCTATTTCTGGAAGTTTGAATTTTTCTCTTCTGACTTTCAGGTGGGTTGTATTTTTGAAGGTCACATTAACAAACAGCTTTTAGACCATTGTTTCATTTTTTGTTTATTGCCAGTTATTTGTGGAAGTATTTGCTTTGGGCTTCCAGTTACCGGAAGAAAAAAAATTAGAAGCTCTCAGATTAACTTAGTCTTGGAAAAGGAAATAAAGACAATCAGGAACATGTCAGCTGATGTGACTCAAGCAGACATGAATAACTTCTGTGGAGAAAAAGACTGAATAAAGTCCCTAAGTTCACTTCATGATGCAGTAGCCCAAGAAGCAGCTAAACACATAAGGAAATCCATAATGCTTTTTATTGTCAGCAACACATTAAAAAATGAAAACTAATAATGGATTTAGATAATGCATTGCTCAATATTCAAAACATACCAACATGAAACTAAAAAATACTGACAAACTACTCATAGAAGTAAAAGTCTACAACAAATATTAACTATAAAAACTCCACAATGACAAATTTGCAAAGATGCATGTAGATTTTTTAAAATTGGAAGTTTCATAGATGGATTCTATTGGCTGACAGAAAATGGAGAACATAATTTTAATGGTGAAGGAAACGTAAATCTGTATCCCCATAAAAAACCTTAAACACACAAGGAACTAGAGAATATTAAAACATGAATTAGATATGAAAACACATAAAACTGCACATAAATTCTGAAACATGATGTAAAAACAGCTGACAGTTGAGAAGTCTATTAACTCCTACACAGATGAGAAAATATACTCAGTTTGGAGGCGCTAC